CTGACGTGCTCTTACCCAAGGAAACCCAGGGTGGTAACACCTCTATTGTCTATGAAGACTCTTGGCACTATACCCCGATAAAACTGCCCTACATAAAGAAAAATGTTTTATCCCAGTTCCGGCGATGCAAAAAGTATAAAGGTATGTACGTATTTTTCGCTCTATAACACTCACCTGACCATAACACGCACATAGTTTTTAGAGGAGGAAAATCCGTAGGCATGCCACCCGTAGGCATTCCCTCCATAACACGCACAGACATTTCCCCTTACTTTTTAGGAGGAAAAAAGTGAGTGTTATGGTGCAAAAAATACGGTACTTCCACCTTCAGTGGGAGTGCCAACCAGGGTAAAAATTTTGTGAAATGGTATTTAGAGAAATTATAAATTTCAGATTATAAAACAGAGTTACCAATAGCAACTTGAGCACGTCTGGGAATATGGGATGGTCCTGATGAAGAAGAGACCAAGTAAACATAATATGATTATTACAAAGAATTAGAAGTATTTTGAGGGGATTACTAAGGAAGAATGGTGTAACTGAGCATGGTTAATAGCAAGGGTTTGCCTGGTGAGGAGCAACCCAGATCCTGAAACTTTGGCGCCCAAATCTGAGAACTAAGGTGGCCCCTAGTGATGTAATAGGGTATGGGCTTCAATTATGTCAAAGGGGGTGGGCCCCGGTGATGTCATTAAGCATGACACATTAAGTATTTACTCCAGTCACTGAAAGAACATCATTCAAATGAAAAGAAGTACAGTGGTACCTCAGGTTAAGTGCTTAATTCGTTCCGGAGGTCCGTTCTTAACCTGAAATTGTTCTTAACCTGAAGCACCACTTTAGCTAACGGGGCCTCCTGCTGCTGCCGCGCCGCCGGAGCACAATTTGTGTTCTCATCCTGATCCTGAGGTAATATTTCTGGGTTAGCGGAGTCTGTAACCTGACGCGTATGTAACCCGAGGTACCACTGTATTAACAAATAAGCAAATATATCACTGGTTGGAAATTAAGATAGAAATCTTGGCTGAAGATGGGGTTCCCAGGTCCCGCTGAAATGAGAAGAATCAGTAACTAGCTAATTAATTAAGAAGTCCAAAGGAATTGTTAGGTAGTGAAACTGGGATTGAACGCTGACAAAGGCTGAGAGCAAGGGAAAGCAAGTGGATGACATTTTGACCCCACTATTCTCTAACCAAAAATGTGCACATTCAGCACAGCCCTAACATACAGCAAGAGGCAAAGGATTTTGTGACCTAACAAATCTCAAGCTCCCAAGGAAACTAACCCAATAAATAATAATAAAAAGTATGCAGATAGAAAGCCAGCAGGGGTGTGGAGGCTATCCTGCACATCTGTAACTCTTTGTCCACTGGAAAAAAAAGTTGTGTGTGCAGAGGGAGTGTTTGATGCAAGGAGCTTGTAGCCTTCAGGAAAAGAGTTCATTCCCTTGAGGCCAAGGTGGCTGACCTGGAGAAGCAGAGAGGATGGTGGATTTGAGGATGCCACAGCTGTGCCCTGCTCCCCCATTGTCATGGCGAAGGGGCTGCAGAGGAGGAAGGTGTCTGAGGAGGAGGGAAGAGCTCCCTCAGAAGGGACCCATTACTTGGGGGATTATTTTTATTTTTTTTTAGGATTTGATATCCCACTTTATCACTACCCGAAGGAGTCTCAAAGCGGCTAACATTCTCCTTTCCCTTCCTCCCCCACAACAAACACTCTATGAGGTGAGTGGGGCTGAGAGGCTTCAGAAAAGTGTGACTAGCCCAAGGTCACCCAGCAGCTGCATGTGGAGGAGCGGGGAAGCGAACCCGGTTCACCAGATTACGAATCTACCGCTCTTAACCACTACACCACAATTATCCTCTTGTGCTGCCAGGGGGCAGGAAAATCCTGGCAGTGGGTGATCCAATCATTAGTGACACAGGTGGGCATACACACTGCATGGTGCCTTGCCTGTTTGGCACAGAGATTGGGGATCTAGACAGCATGGTAAATAGTATTTGGGAAGGGGTCTGTGATCGTGGTGCATACAAGCATGAGGAAATATAGCTGTGCAGTCCTGGAAACCTAATTTAGGTTGCCATATTAAAAGCTAGAACCTTCAAAGTGCAGTCGTACCTTGGATCCTGAACGCCTTGCGAGTCAAACATTTTGGCTCCTAAACACCTCAAACCCGGAAGTGAGTCTTCCGGTTTGCGAACGTGCTTTGGAACCCGAACGTCCGACAGGGCTTCTGCAACTTCCAATTGGCTGCAGGAGCTTTCTGCAGCCAATCAGAAGCCGCGCTTTGGTTTCCAAATGTCTTGGAAGTTGAACGGACTTCCGGAACGGATTCCGTTCGACTTCCGAGGCACCACTGTAGTTTAAGTTGACTTTCCCTGTAGGTGTAGCTGCGTAGTCTCGATGCATGGTTGAGATACTGGAGTCAGGAGAAGGAATTTTGATTTGTTAGGCACTGAGGAACAAGCCAAGTCTGTTCATATGTGAAGTATTCCCCTTGGACCAGGATGGAACAAGACTGTTGGCATTTAAAAATAAAAATGTGACAAAGCAGCTTTTAAACCAATTGCGTGCTCCTCTGTGAGTGGTGATACAAGGTCCAAAGAGTAATTGAGTGCTGAGGCTGTACAGTTCTGCCCTTGCCCAAAATACCTAGGCTAGGGTGACTTTGAGATGGAGAATGAAATCAATGAGATAGCTAAAGGAGGAAGTGCTGTAGCAAAGTGACTTCAGTTATCTTTACATAGACTGGATATATGCATATTATATTAATGATGTTATGTACTGAGTTGAATAGGATCCAAAATGTTTGGAAAATGGAAGCCTAGTCCAAATGAAGGGAACACAAAAGCAAGCAGAGAACAGGAGATGCAAAAGAAGAAGAAGAAGCCAATTCAAGGAGCACATCGCTTAAAAACCTAAAGATTACTCACACACAAAAATCTACATCTGAAGGCCTTTAATACGTTTTAAGTGGTGACGACTTCTCTTCTTCCTCAAGCAGCTTAACCACACAAAGTGATTTATTATCTTTTTAGAGGCAGAGACTGCTCCCAGTTCCTCAAGTGGATAAGGTGGGGCTTTAATGCTGAGAAACTATGATACAAAATCCCCAGTCAGTCATGAAGCTCAGTTAATGGCCTTAGGCTGTGAGAGAATGACCTACTTGGCTATTTAGAGGAAAGAGCAGAATTTGTAGAGCACTTCATACAATGAAACAAGAAATAGTAATCAATAAAATATGTATTTTAGGTCTTCAGCTAAAAGCTTCTGGCTCTTTTAAAGCTAAAATTCCTTCGGTAAATCAGTATACGACCACCATGTTCAGTTTGCACTCAGTTTGCCCCTCCTCAAACTTATGCCAGTAACTGAAATATTCTCCAAAGGTGAAAATTCCTGCATTTCACATACTCCTGAAAGTTCCTTTCAGAGTCTATTGCCTGAAAGGAGAAAATCATAACCTTTCATTGTTATTTTCAAAATTACTGCTTGTTTAAATTAAAAGCGATATTATTTTCCCTCCGAGAAAGACCCGCGTTCATTTTTTTCCTTATTAAAGCCATTCTGCTTTTCAGAAATATTTCCCTGGCGCTTTCTTTTCTGTCTTGATTGTAATTAATCCTGACATTTATCACATTTAGGTAAACTGGTGAAACAGTATCCATGTAAACTCTCAACGGCAGCCGTGTATGCAATATATTTGGTAGTTTCTGAGGAGCGATGTTTGCGTTTTTAGATTTGAAAAGTTTGAACAGAGGATTCCAGCTGTGAGATACCAGGAAAAATCCAGCTGTACGGCTTTAATGGGGGAGAAGGGTGTTTGTAAGAGCTGCCTATTCTTCCTTTCAATCAATTACCATAACAAATTACTGGATTTCGGCCAGAAAAGACACAAAAGCTCAATGTGTAGCATTGTTTTTGGGCTTCGTAAACTGTTACATTTGAAGCCTGGCCTAGATAAAACCCAGATGGGGGAAAAGGACAGGGCAGCCAGCACCGTTGGTGTGTCTGAAATGATAGCAACTCAATTTTCGCCCAAGAAAGCGTTTTCATGAATGTACTTCCTTTTGAAGGGTACTTGAGAGCCGGAGGTCCAAAGGCCTTTGAAATCGATGTCAAGGCTACCATTGACTTCAAAGGGCTCTAGGCTTTTTACCGTTGCAACAGGTATAGCATAAGCACAGAGGATAACACATGTCAGATGTGACCCAGAGAAGAAATCCTATCAAGGAACGAGTACAGGAAACTTATCCATTCTTTCTCCGGCATTTCTGCAGGGACTCAGCCAACATGGGTATCAATCACTGCCAGCTGAGTTGGTGGTTTTATAATGCGAACATCTGCCTGCTGTGAAATGAAAATCACCCACTACTTTCACATAAACCAGTGAGCAGCTCCCTGTCGCAAGAATACTGAGCCGTGCCCTCTTTCGTGGTGCGCATCAAGGGAACCTTTTGAAAAATGGTGAGTGGTCTGAAATTTGGCTGCTAAGATTGTCTAATGCATAAAGGAAAATATCTGAACTAAAGAAAGCATCTGATCTCATACATCAGACTAAGGAAACCATGAATATAGTCGCATGCATCACATTTTCTCTTGCTCTGACATATTACAGTGGTACCTCAGGTTAAGAACTTAATTTATTCTGGAGGTCTGTTCTTAACCTGAAACTGTTCTTAACCTGAAGCACCACTTTAGCTAGTGGGGCCTCCTGCTGCCGCTGCACTGCTGGAGCCCAATTTCTGTTCTCATCCTGAAGCAAAGTTCTTAACCTGAGGTAATATTTCTGGGTTAGCGGAGTCTGTAACGTGAAGTGTATGTAACCTGAAGCGTATGTAACCCGAGGTACCACTGTACATTAAATTATACGTTACTGCTGTATCCCAGATTCAAAAGAACCATTCCAGCAGAGGGACTGTTTCTCCCCCCGCCCCAATACAATGAAACTGACATTTAACTGCCTCTTCATTTTCAAATCCTTTACCAGTGTCTAAGCTTCTAATGCATGGGTAGGCAAACTAAGGCCCAGGGGCCGGATCCGGCCCATTCGTCTTCTAATTCCAGCCCGTGGACGGTCTGGGAATCAGTGTATTTTTACATGAGTAAAAACTGACAAACTGGAACGTGTCCAGAGAAGGGCAACCAAAATGGTCAAAGGCCTGGAAACGATGCCTTATGAGGAACGGCTAAGGGAGCTGGGCATGTTCAGCCTGGAGAAGAGGAGGTTAAGGGGTGATATGATAGCCATGTTCAAATATATAAAAGGATGTCACATAGAGGAGGGAGAAAGGTTGTTTTCTGTCCCAGAGAAACGGACACGGAGGAATGGATCCAAACTACAAGAAAGAAGATTCCACCTAAACATTAGGAAGAACTTCCTGACAGTAAGAGCTGTTTGACAGTGGAATTTGCTGCCAAGGAGTGTGGTGGAGTCTCCTTCTTTGGAGGTCTTTAAGCAGAGGCTTGACAACCATATGTCAGGAGTGCTCTGATGGTGTTTCCTGCTTGGCAGGGGGTTGGACTCGATGGCCCTTGTGGTCTCTTCCAACTCTATGATTCTATGATTCTATGAGTAGAATGTGTGCTTTTATTTAAAATGCATCTCTAGGTTATTTGTGGGGTATAGGAATTCGTTCAATTTTTCTCTCCAAAATATAGTCCAGCCCCCCACAAGATCTGAGGGACAGTGGACCAGCCCCCTGCTGAAAAAGTTTGCTGACCCCTGATCTAATGAATGTCCCTGGCCACATACAAATGAATACTTCAGTGAACACATAAACTCCCCACGATACACATTTTTCACTGGACTGACTGTGGCATGTTTGTTCCATGGCATGTAATGTGGTATTGATTGTATGATTCTGGACTTGGCTTGATTTCCCAGTTTGACCCATAATGAGTGAATTTCTAGATTACACATCCTTTGTATCCCATCCATCTAGTCCATCAACCTGGTGACCTTCTATCCGAGGCTCTTAAGTCTTTTCCATGTTCCTTCTGCAGGTCTTCTTCATGTTTATACCTGCACTTTACTTTATCTTCTGCTGATCTTATTCTTAATTTCTTTCCTTTCTCACTGAGGGGTAGATCTCGGGGAGACTCCAACTTGACAATATCTTTATCCCTTGTCAACAAGTCAGCCCATTCTCCATAGTCGACACTGGAATCCAAAAGATATTTGAGGGCATGTTTCAAAGTCCCTCCAAGGTTAAGGGCCCCCACAACTCCAAGCTCCCCCTGGCCCAAAGCCAGATCCGAAAAGTCAAAACATCCCTGCATAGGGGGATCTATTCAACTTCCTATCTCCAGACCAAATAGTACTCCATCTCTTCAAATCTGACTTTCTCCAGGTTCAGTCGTCAAAAACAGCAACTTATGTTCCTGCAAGGCCGCAGCTTTCTCCATTTCTGGTACTTGAGGTTCAGCAACTACCTCCTCCTTTATCTTCTTCACCACTTGCTCTGTCAAAGCACATTCCTGGGTTAATTCCTGAGTGGTTTCTATATAAGGATTCACTGTTTGTCCAAAATTTCCAACTGCAACAGTCATCAAATCCATCTTCTCATGTAGCTGTTCCAGTAAAGCACTTGTCTTGCAAAAGGCAAGCACTAAAGCTTCTTCTGGGCACATTCTTGTTCAAGGTCAATGTCTGGTCTCACGATCTTTAATCTCTACAGCTGCAGAATTCCCAGATCGACTCTAACAACAGTTTCACAAGCTCCCTCTAGAGGAAACAATTTCTATTTGTATCCATCTTTTTAAAAGCAGATCTAGCAACAAAGTTCCTTTCGTTTTCCAGTTATTTTGTTCCTTTTAAGTACAAAAGGGAACATTGGAATCAATATGTTTCTCTTTTTTAACTATCTGTCAAAAACGTTTTCTCCACAGTCAATGAACTTCCCCAAAGTGTCTGTCTCTGACACCCCGCTCCCAGGATCAAGACGGTGGAAATTTATCTTTCTTTACTCTCTCTTCTGCAGGTTTAAACAGTCTAAAAAGATTCCCCCCTCTTCTCCTGCTTCCAAGGGGGGTTTAGTAAATTTTAGCTGGTGGAAATTTAGTCCTTTACAAACGACTTTCTAGACTCTAGTTTGCAACGTCTTTGCTTCAATCTATTTACAAAAGTGGAAGGCGGACTTCTGGGTTAGCGCCTCCGGCAATGGCGGATTTCCTCTGATCGGGAGGAAACCCGAGACCAGGAAGAAGAGATGATGGATGAAGATTGGAAGAAAGTTTTAAAAATTTATTTAGAAAATCATTGTAAAATTAATGAGTATTGGAAAAATGTTGGAATGAAACTATTTGGCTTTAATAGAAATGTTAAAAAGAATTATGTATAAATATGTTTTGTTAAAAAGAATTAGGTATAAATAAGATTTAAGTTTTAAGCTTTAGGGCTTTTTATGGTAAGATAAGGTTAAAATAGATTAAGGTAATTTAATGACAGAATATTGTGAAAGATGGAAAGGATTTGCTGAGATAATTAATAACTAGAATACAAAAAAGGGAGGTGTGAGGAGGTCGATGAAACAAGTTAATGAAAGATAAAGATTTGGGAATATTGGATTTGTTTTTAATTTTTTTGTTTATTTTTGTTTTTTGGATTCTGATGTATTGTGTGTTTTGTTTTTTGTCTTTGACTTTTGTTTTTATTGACTTGCATTGTTTAATTTCTCTTTTTGTCTACCTTTTTTCCTTTTTTTCTTCTTGTTTTTTTTTCCTTTTTATATCTGTAACTTTAAATTCTCAATAAATATCATTTTTTTAAAAAAGAATTTCTAGATTACACATAATGACAGCCAAATATTGTTTATTTATTAAATTTGTGTAACACCCTTCCTTCAAAGAGCACAGTACAGTTCATACCATAAAAATACAAAATGAGAACACAAAATACATAATAAAACAAACACAAACCAATAACCGCCCCCCCTCCCACGAACACATTTAAAAGTACATGGGATGCTAATCAGCCTGATAAAAGATGAACATTTTCACCTGGCAGTAGGCAAGCCTCCCTGGGGAGAGAATTCTACTACGAAGGAGCCACCACAGAAAAGGCTCATTCTTGTGTTACCATCCTCCGAACCTCTCATGGAGGGCTTCAGATTATGATTGCAGGGTCTTGGTTAGTTCATATGGAGGGAGGTGGTCCTCCCATATGTAAACGTTAAAAAGCACAGATGTTTAATAACATTGAACTCTGAAGACCCTCACGTTGAAGGCTCCACAGGGCCAAAGAACCTTCCCCAAGCATCATCTTCTGGAAACAACCAGTCAAGTAGGACCAGAACCACTGTGAAGCGGTGCCACCCACACCTAACTTGGACAGTTGCTCCAGAAGGATGCCACGGAGGTGTTAGAATTCCTGATCTATGATTGCAGTCATAGGATTGTTGTCTTTCACATGACGGTATATTTTGACTCCACAGAGTGGGATGTGACGGAAACAGGATGTTTGTGTTACTGTGTTCCGTGAAGTGGGACTATTGTCCTTTGTTCTTTTTCTCTTTGCTGTCTGATGCTAGAGAGAGAGGGAGCCATGTTGCAGTGCTCCGTGTGTGTTTATATGTAAATAAAGTAGATTAGCCAAAATGCTGAGTTGCTGAGGTCTGTTACGCAAAGCTGCGAAGACTCTGCAGATCTCTAAGTGTGCCGGTGTCAGCTGGCATCAGTCACTGTGATGTTCGGGCTGAAGAAAGCTTATGAAGCTCCTGAACGATCAACCAGGAGGGAGGGAACATGCCAGTTGGGCATGTGTCTCTGCCAGAGTCCTACTCGAGTGAAGGCTGAACTCCTGACAGGAGGATGGTATCAAAAGCCACTGAGAGGTCGTGGAAAATTAACAGGGATGCATTTCTGTTGTCTTCTCTCCCACCAGAGGTCATCCTACAGGGCAACCAAAGCCATTTCTGTGTAAAAACCGGGCCTAAACCCCAACTGAAATGGATCTAGGAGAATGGTTTCCTCCAAGAGCGCCTGGATCTTGGAGGACAACAGCAAACCACCTCTCTCTACTGACAATATTCATCAACCTTCAGGCCCTTGATTTCTAACAATGTCTGGCCAACCTTGCATCCAAGGGTTTCTCTTGCTTAACCTGCACAAGTATTTCCATCGTACAGTCCATGGTGCCAATAACAAGACTCTATAAACATTTATTTAAGGACGCGGGTGGCGCTGTGGGTAAAACCTCAGCGCCTAGGACTTGCCGATCGCATGGTCGGCGGTTCGAATCCCCGCGGCGGGGTGTGCTCCCGTCGTTCGGTCCCAGCACCTGCCAACCTAGCAGTTCGAAAGTACCCCGGGTGCAAGTAGATAAATAGGGACCGCTTACCAGCGGGAAGGTAAATGGCGTTCCGTGTGCTGCGCTGGCTCGCCAGATGCAGCTTGTCACGCTGGCCACGTGACCCGGAAGTGTCTGTGGACAGCGCTGGCTCCCAGCCTATAGAGTGAGATGAACACACAACCCTAGAGTCTGGCAAGACTGGCCCGTACGGGCAGGGGTACCTTTACCTTTTTATAAACATTTATGCTACTGCCTGTTTCTGTCCTCCCACTGGTGGTTTTCACCAGTTCCCCATTGCAGCTGCCAACACCATCTCACATACTGTTTGTGGGGCTCCCCAACCCACCAGAACAGTTTTTTTGCGGGGGGGGGGGGTGTTGCTGCAGTGGGAAGGAAAAATGGCCCTGCTGGATCAAAGTCACTGAGTTCAGCTATGCTAGTACATGTGCAAAAGAAATTATTTTAATTGAATTAGTGTTTAGTACAGTGGTACCTTGGTTTCCAAACTTAATCCATTCCGGAAGTCTGTTCCAAAACCAAAGCATTCTAAAACCAAGGCGTGCTTTCCCATAGAAAGTAATGCAGAATGGATTAATCCGTTCCAGACTTTTAAAAACAACCCCTAAAACAGCAATTTAACATGAATTTTACTATCTAACGAGACCATTGATCCATAAAATGAAAGCAATAATCAATGTACTGTACTATAAAATAAGTAAGACAGAACTGTAGATGATAAAATAATAATAATAATAATAATAATAATCTTATGTGCACTGATGATAGTCATTGTTTGGGGGGGGGTATCCATTTCTTCAGTCACACAATCAATCAATCAATCAGTAGCTGAACTGGGTTCCACACAGTCACAAAAACAAATCACAAAAACGAAGTCACAAGCCACAGTCATAAAAACGGAGTCATAAGCAACAGTCACAAGTCAGTCCCATAAAACAAAGAACAAGTCACAATCGAAAAAATGAAAAAGCTACACAAACAAAAAGCACAAAAAAATAGCAAAAACAAAAGCTCCAAATATCACCTCTGTGTTGCGTGGGTGCGCGGGACTCAACAGCCGACAGACTCAATAGGAAGCCTCTGATTAGCAGCGGAAGACTCAATTTACAAATGGAACATACTCAACAGGAAGCGGAACATGTTCAGCTTCCAAGGCAAAGTTCACAAACCAGAACATCTACTTCCTGGTTTGCAGCGTTCTATTTCCAAGTTGTTCGTAAACTAAGCTGTTCTAAAACCAAGGTACCACTGCAACAGACTCTTGCCTCATTACATTGAGGACATATATGTCACTGAGAAACAAATGACCTAGCTTGGGAACTCATGTATTCTAGAAATTTGCTTAAGGCCAAAATAATACTTGATCGGCAAACATTACCACAGTGGACAACTATATTAACGTTAGCTGCATTCTGTAGCAGTTCTGAGAGACAGAAAGAGAGGATACAGAACTCCAATAATTTTTAAAAAACTTATTTTTAGATACGCTATGTTGTAGATGTCATTCCAATGGCGCAATATAGAATACATATAAAAAGGTCCAAATTCAATGCAAATTTGTTACTATAACTGAGTGCAAAGATGCCACAGCGGAATAATCAAACACAATCTGGCTTTGTTTATATGAGAAATATTAAGCTATGTTTTCCACGAAGGAATGACATTCCCTCTGGATACACATAGCGATCACAGGGTTATGATTAATGACTATGGAGGGTAGGAGTGGAGATTAGCTTCAAGGGAGGGTCATAAAGAGTACTCAAGTTAAAGATGACTATACTCAACGTTGACTTTTGTAGCTCTATTTTTTAAAACATATCTGATGAACTGAGAACTGATGTAAGTGGAGAGTTATAGACATTCCACCCTTGATTGTATATTACTCTTTTTCTCTCTGGAATGGGTGCAGTTTACATTTTCTGTTATTTAATTTTGTTTCAAAATTCTGTAACTGAATAATTTGTCATTGTTAAATCCCCCCCATACAAAAAAAGAAGAAGATTCAAGACAGAAAGATCACTGGAAATCAGAGCATATTGCATTTCCGCACGTTTCCTTCAAAAACAACATTTAAACGTCTCAGTGCTGTTGTGATATGTGGGATTAAGGATATTTTAGCATTCTTGAATAGCTTTTTAAAGAAAACCAGGGCAACCATTTTAATTTCCCACAATGCCCCAGTGTGATACTGTGTCAGCAACACTCTGTGACAAATAAACGATGGAATTTCAGGATATCGGCAAAATGTCCAGGTTTCTGAAACTTTCCCAAAAAACGCTCAACAACTTTTTGTGCCTGGATTTTTACTTCTTGAAATATGGCAACCCTACTCTGGACCCAAATGATATGAGCCCATTAGACTGGACCCCTCCAATCCTGAAGCCAGCCCTCATAACCATCAAATGAGTGGATCTTTGGGAAGACTTTCTAGCCGGTTCTGAACTGTGTTTTCCTGACAGAGTTCAACTCCCCAGTGTAAAAATAAATAAATCTGCAGCCAGTTTCACAGCAACTTCAGGAATATTCTGGGTGCTCCATCTCCCAACACTGACATTCTTCCTCAAAAGTCATAGACTATTAGCAGGGCCGTCTTAAGCATATCCGGCGCCGTGGTGCAAAGATCCCTCCGGTGCCGGCGCCCCACCATTTCCCAGTGTTGGGTTTTTTTATTATTTATTTAATCATTTTTTCAATACAAAAACAACTACAAAAAACACAACAAAAATCAGAATAACACTAATAACACAATCTGACAGTTCAGATTTGAGTACTGATATACCTATGACTACACCTTTTTAACAATATTTCCCCACCTCTCCTCCCCCTACTTCCTACCACTGTCCGCCTTATCGCTTAAATATTCCTTCCAGATTTCTTCATATTTATCCATTCTTAATTTGCGTCAACATGCAATTCATTCGTGTGTAGCTAGTCTGTCCATATTATCAATCCATGTGCTCAATGGAATCTTTTTGCGGCTCTTCCAATTCATCAAAACAAGTTTTTTTGTTTGTAATATGGCAAGATATATCCATTTTTTTGACCCCTTGTAATCTCCCACGTTTCCGGAATATAATTTAGAATTCAATTCAATTCACCTAAATAACAATTTCTTTTTATTACTCTTGCTATAAATGTGCTCACCTCGCACCAAAATGATCTTACCATCGGGCCATTTTCAAGAGTTGTCGACCTTTTCCCAAGCCTCTGCGGGGATCGCTCTCCTCCCGTGAAGGCTTGGGAGGCAAGCTGCAAGCCTGCCAGCCATATGGTTGACGGGGCGCAGCTGGCGGGATTGCAGGGAAAGGGGAGGCCGCCGGCAAAGCCGCACAGCTCCCCCACTCGCTGGGGCGCCCCTGAGAGCCTGGCGCCCTGGCGCAACGCGCCACTAAGCCCAATAAGAAAGACGGCTCTGACTGTTAGAGAACTTTCACATACAGCTGAGAGAGAAAAATATCTGCTGTACCGTGCTAGTATAGAGAATGTCTCCAGAGAACCAATGAATATAACCACACACAAAAAGCAGATGCAAACTTAAGATTCTAAGTTGTGCAGCTATTAGCAAGCGAAACTGCCCGCAACATGATCCAAATCATGTTTACTCAGACTAACGTCCCACTGGATTCAGTGTGGTTTATTTCCTAGTTTGTGTGCTTAAGGTTACTGCTGTGGGAATATTCCCTGCACAATGTCACAAATGCTATTAACACATTTTCCTATTCTAAAAGAGGGGATATGCTAAAAATCAATATGATCCAATTAATGTGCTCTCTAGTCTATAGCAAAGCTGGAGAATATTACAATTTTCACCTACGGCTTTTAAAGTTGTCTTTAGGTTGCAATATTATGCAAACTTACTTGGGAGTAAGTCCCATTACCTTTCGAGTAAACAAGCACGGGACCAGGCTGTTAATTTAGCTTATGCCGCTAATCATTGTTAATGACCTTTTAAAGTCATTTGCAAGTGGGATTTCTGTCATACTGTACTGCCATCAGGCTTTTTATATATGTCTACATAATGCATATGGCTGCAATGTTTACATGTCTGGAAATTTGAATGAATTCAACAGCACTTCCAAGCTTGCATGTGCTATATTTAGAGAGAAAATCTTTGCCTTTAAACTTAACTGCTTGAGCCTGTGAATGCAGTTCATTCTCGATTTCTTTAATACCGTACCAAGAATTTAAGCGGAATGGTATCTCAATAGGTATAGAAATAAATATATGTATTATGTCTCAAAATCATAAAAAAGTCCCTTCTTTCGTTTCAAGTGTGTAGGGGATGGGGAGAAAGTAGATAAATGCAGATGGGGAATTGTTGTGTTAGGGGAAAATCTGCTCCTGCGGACACACACTGTTGTCTTCCCCCAATTCCTGCAAAATATAGGCTATGGCTCCTCACTTCTCCCCATCATAATGATGGGCATTTTGCTAGCAACATACACCACTCTGTAATTACATTTCCAGACGGAAATATGGGCAAGAACTTGACCGAGCAAGGCACTTTAGTTGTCAGATTTACTTGGTGGACAATAGAAAACGGCAAGGAGGCACAGGGGATTGGAATGATCTAATAGAGAGTTCATCAAGTTGAATTTCATGTGTTTGCTTTCCAAACCAACACCCTTCTGTAGCTTGGACACGGACCCTAATGGATACACTTCAAAATAACAGTAAGCATCTAAGCCTGTGTGGGTTGAAGAACATCTCACAGGGCTTTGTCCTAGCCAAGGTTAGTTGAGGCTCTCAGAAAAGTATTAAATGAAACCTCCGCTTTCAAGCCTCAGAAGATTTTCAGAGTTAAAAAGTTTCTATTTGCTTTAGCGTTTTTTCTTCCAAAAAGCTAATGAGCTCTTCAAATAGGCAAAAATCTGTTTATTCCCACCTGGCAACTAATAATACAAGTGAAACAGATATGTGTTTTCCATTGAGGTTCCTACCATTTGCTCTTGCATTTATATTATTGGCTTGTTCAAAGGAAAGAAATAGTAGCTTGAGCTCATAATATATTGGGCAAAATTTCAAGAAGATTAGGGCACGTGGTGAAGGATTGTGGATGGAAAGCATACATTTATGGCAAAGAATCGTTTGTGCCAGAAATCCAAATTGCACTGGAAATCATCTCTGCCTTGTATCAGCTATGTACCAGCCATAGACTCTCCTAACAGCAGGGAAGGTCTAACACCATTGTCACAAAGCCAAAATGAATTCTGAATTATACCAACCCAGAAAATGAGCAATCTTGATTGGATAGAGCTGCACATTCAGAAGTATTAGGCACCCAGATATACACATTCAGAAATATTCCATCTGAAATGTACTGATGGGTAATAACTTGCTAATAGGAAGCATGCAAATCAAAGAAAAGTCCAAGTTAGGACTCCTGTCCTTGACAGGATAACTTACACATGCAGGGAGATTTTAAAGTATGGAACCTGCGTGCATTCCACTGGTTCCTTCCACTACTGGTTACTGGGAAAGCAGGACACAACTCACCAAATTCTAGGAGTTTGCACACAGCCCTATTCCAGATGAAGAAAACTCATATACAATCTATAAACATTTACACAAACGGGCTGGGACAGGTGTTGTAAGGGTCTTGGAAGACACATTTGGACAAGGGAATCCCCAGGAAGGGTGGGTCTTTCAACCTGCACTCTGGAAGGTCAGACTCATCCTCAAGGTTTACTATGTGGGTTAACTTCCCAATCCGATTACTGAAGCTGTACCTAGGGGCTCACAAGCTATCATTCTTTTAGATGGCATCCAGTCGCATGTCGTCTAATCTCCTTTCTAACAAATCAGAATGGGTCATCTGGAAGCGCCCTCGTTGTTCCGATCAAATTACAGATACCTTGTGTAATGTATAGTTTGCCCATCAGTTGACTCTTTGTGAAATTCTTAACGATAATAGGCTTCCATGTGAGACAGA